GGCATATATAACAGTTATCTGTATAAATTATAAAACACTATGACAAGGTAATGTTTAATTTATTATATTATATATATATTTATTACATTTTATATTATCTCACACATGGATCGACATTTTCTACAATGTCTAAATTCTAAATCAAAATACATCTCTGCTATGAATTAATATATAATTAGCATCAAACAAACAATATAATTCATATTCTCTAGGATTAAAGATTAAACGGAAAAAAATAAAAATGATTGCACAACCATCAATTAGGTGGCGATATGCATTAAGCGTGTAAACGACCATTGAACAAATAAGAAGAAAGAAACAGCATGGCGCGCCTTTTCTTAGCGTCTGTTTCCATAGTGTCTCGTCGATTCATCGCTCTGTTGAGAATGTCTCGAGTCTTAACCAGGAACATACTCCGAGTTGAATGAACTTTTTGGAACCACATACCTCGATTGCACAACCATCAATTAGGTGGCGATATGCACTAAGCGTGTAAACGACCATTGAACAAATAAGCAGAAAGAAACAGCATGGCGCGCCTTTTCTTAGCGTCTGTTTCCATAGTGTCTCGTCGATTCATCGCTCTGTTGAGAATGTCTCGAGTCTTAACCAGGAACATACTCCGAGTTGAATGAACTTTTTGGAACCACATACCTCGAGCAAGCAAGGTTTGGGGTTAATCAACCGAAAGTTCAGGGTTTAGCTGATGGTAAGTTAACCGTGCTTTCTGGAATACACCCCAGGACTCAAACTCTGTGACTCTTACATCAGTGTCTGACCCTCACACACACTCAAACAGCAGATCCCGGTCACATGACCTGACTGACATTGAACGTGGGAAAGTGACTTATTTAATCAAATTAAAATAAGTTGATTCTCCAGTTTTACAGGCGTTACCGCTGCTGGGTGTGTGAATTTCAGCTCGTTATTCCCAGACAAATCAAGCTGATCTGGGGTCAGGATCTGACCTGTCTGCAGAGCGAGGCGCTGAGGCCGTTATAGAGCGCCAGCACACCGTCGTTCTTCACCACGTGCATCGCCATGCCAACCATCCTCATCTTCACCTCCTGCTGCGTCTGCAGGTGCACCTGTCAACATCAGCAATATCATTATCATTACATCAGCAGTACAACGAATATTTGCAACAATCGTTCAAAGTTTGTCTGCTCCCCAATGCTGCATTTATTTGATGAAAAATACAGGAGAAACAGTAATAATGTGAAATATTACAATTTAAAATAACTGTTTTCTCAGTGAATCTATTGTAAATGTAATTCATTCCTGTGATCAAAGCATCATGACTCCAGTCTTCAGTGTCACACGATCCTTCAGAAATCACTCTAATACGCTGATTTGCTGCTCAAGAAACATTTCTGATTATTATCAGTGTTGAAAACAGTTGCGCTGCTGAATATTTCTGTGGAAACCGTGACACATTTTGTTTTTCAGGATTCTTTAAGGAATCAAAAGTTCAAAAGAACAGCATTTATCTGAAATGGAAATCTTTCATAACATTATAAGTGTCTTTACTGTCACTTTTAATCAATTAAATGCATACTGGACAAATAAAAGTAGCTCTAGTGCGTGTAACATTTGATTATACTATGCTCACTTGAGCATTAAGTACCTGTTGCTACATGCAACAGGTTGTAACAAACTCACTGACAAAACAGTACACACACACACACACACACAGTACTGCCCTGTGGGAAGTTAAAACAGAGGCCAACGGCCGCTCTCACCAGTGCACCAACTATAACGTCACATGTCTTTCTGCTCAAACACTGTAATTATTTAACAATGCAGCTGTGCACGTGTAACTCAACAGTCAATCTCAAGTTAATTTACACATGCAGATGCATGTTTGAATCTTGTATTAATGTTTTAAGCACACACAAAGGTAACTGCACTCAGACGGTCTCTCATTAAACTCAGATCTCTGAAGGGTGACTGGGTGACCTTCGTGTCAAGCAGCTCTTCACATGTGTTTTTGGCTTCAGTATGTGGTTTTATGGCGCTTATCTGTGGCTTTTGTTTTAGTTTTAGTGGAGAGCAGATAAATCTGAGATAATTCAGTCTGTTATCACAGATAAACAAGAGAGCACTCAGACGATTTAAAACCAGAGAAAGCCTAGGAGATAAGCGTCTCTCAGCTAGCAGACAACGGACTGTTTAGCAACTCACTCTCTTTCTTTGAATACTTTAAAACAGAGGCCAACGGCCGCTCTCACCAGTGCGCCAACTATAACGTCACATGTCTTTCTGCTCAAACACTGTAATTATTTAACAATGCAGCTGTGCACGTGTAACTCAACAGTCAATCTCAAGTTAATTTACACATGCAGATGCATGTTTGAATCTTGTATTAATGTTTTAAGCACACACAAAGGTAACTGCACTCAGACGGTCTCTCATTAAACTCAGATCTCTGAAGGGTGACTGGGTGACCTTCGTGTCAAGCAGCTCTTCACATGTGTTTTTGGCTTCAGTATGTGGTTTTATGGCGCTTATCTGTGGCTTTTGTTTTAGTTTTAGTGGAGAGCAGATAAATCTGAGATAATTCAGTCTGTTATCACAGATAAACAAGAGAGCACTCAGACGATTTAAAACCAGAGAAAGCCTAGGAGATAAGCGTCTCTCAGCTAGCAGACAACGGACTGTTTAGCAACTCACTCTCTTTCTTTGAATACTTTTATTCGAGTCTCATTTCACAGGCCACCTGATACTTGTTCTTTGTGAAATTTTGGAGGAAAACCAAAGTACAGCTACGCTCTTAAGAGCAGAGGTAAACTGAAGGACAAATGAGACACAAGATAATCAAAGTCCACCAAACCGGACTCAACTGGACCTGCACACACACACACACACACACACACACATACACACACACACACACACACACACACACACACACACACACACACACACAAACACAGATGGCAGACATGTGCTGATCACACACGTCTGTAACTCATGAGGAATCTGGACAAAAGCATGCATGGACTGCCAGCTCTCTCACATACACACGTATTGATGTTATGGCATGATAGTGAACTGTACAGTTCCTGTCCCATTAAGAAGCACAGAATGAGCTGATCCTAAAATACCACTGGCCTCTAATATAAATGTACCGCATTCAGAACATTTGCAGCCTTTCATTTAGAGCATGCATGTGAAACCCTTAATTAGATGGCAGACATGTGCTGATCACACACGTCTGTAACTCATGAGGAATCTGGACAAAAGCATGCATGGACTGCCAGCTCTCTCACATACACACGTATTGATGTTATGGCATGATAGTGAACTGTACAGTTCCTGTCCCATTAAGAAGCACAGAATGAGCTGATCCTAAAATACCACTGGCCTCTAATATAAATGTACCGCATTCAGAACATTTGCAGCCTTTCATTTAGAGCATGCATGTGAAACCCTTAATTATAGCTCTGGAAAACAATTAAGACACCCATCAGCTCTATTATAAGACCAAACGACTGCATTTGTTTCTGTAATCTAGAACAAAGTTGTGTCCTTCACTGCGGCTTGAGGACTTGACCTCCGTCCTGTTATAATGTGATTACGCACTCATTCATTTGGTTTAATTATATAGGACATCACATGAGACCTAATCAGATCACAAACTAGTATTCAATTATGTGCTTGTCAATGGCTATATATTTTTTTTCATAATTGAGAGGCAAAATATATCAATATTAGTTCACTTTAGGAAATTAGATGTACATAAAGTTGCTTAAATTAACTTATTTTAGACAATTTCACTGAAAAAATATTTTAAAACATTAGAAAAGGCTGTAAATATATATATTTTTTGAACAGACAAATGTCTTTCAAGGATTGTATGCAGATATTGTTAAAATAAAATATATAATTTTACGTCCAACAAATTGTCAAATGTACTAGACGTGAAATAATCATTATAATTTGACGAGACTGTCAGTGTATTTTGGAACGGACAAACTACTTCTCTGATTTATCGGACATAAAATATGCATTATAATTTGAAACAGACAAACTGCTAAAATGGCCTTATAATCTGTTTTATCAATTCAATACAATTTCAAAAAAAGCCTGTCAGTAGATTTCTGAACAGACAGACTTCTTTCAAATAATATTATGTTGATGTTATCAAAATGGTCAAATGTTATTTACCAGACATCAAATATTCATCACATGTTGACATGCTGCGTATCGGTAGAATTTGGAACACATGTATTTCAAAGATTATGACGTTGGTATTCTTAATAATAATATTATCCACTTCGCTTTACGTAAAACATTCATTACAATTTGTCAAGACAGTCAGTAAGTTTCTATTAGGGCTGTGTGATATTGAAGAAAAATGCGATATGCGATAACTCGATATGCGATACGATAATGCTTAAAGTGCCACATACTCAGATTAAACAGTTTTTCAGTTTCAGAGTCAGTTCTGTGAACTTCTATAACTATCTTGTGTCATATATATATATGGTTATTAGTATGTATGCATGTATGAAATCCTGTAAAACCACAACAAATGCCTCGTGTTTGCGCACACTTAAGTGGTGAATAAAGCTCATTCTGATTCTGATTGTTGTAGCACCCCTACAACAACTTCTGAAAGTGAACGGTAGTGTTTCACTCGAGCATTACATACAAAAAGTCATTTTAACATGAGTTTAGGAACTGAATAATAAAAAGGAAAAATAAAGCACTGCGCATAGCATTTCCTCTTTGAATTCAATATGCACCGATTCTTATTTAAGCTACACATGTTATTTAGGTTAGAGCAGTGAGTGGTTTTCTCTGTCTTTTGTTCATGGCCCCAAATATTGCAAACTGTAGCGATATGCACATTTTGCACAGCCCTAGTTTCTATTCTTTTAACAGTGTTAAATTGGACAGATATGATCGGTATTATCGGTCTGACCGATATATTGTTCTGGAGTTATTGAAAGCACTCAGTTAGCAAAAGAGCAATATACATGTCTAACTATGAACTGTCCAAATGAGAAACTCTTTTGTGTTGACTCCGACCCAAACTCTAGTCGTGTCAGGTGCTCCGGCGGCGGAGGATGAAGAGGAGGCCGCTGATCTGTCACTAAACACCCGCCACCGAGTCTCACCTTGACCAGGTCCAGCGGGTGCGTGCAGCAGGCGGCTCCGCACGACGCGATCCCACCGAAGTACCAGCGCGACATCCGCTTCTCCGCCATCTCTCCGGTTACCGTTAATCTCTCTCTGGTTCGATTCTGAGCTGCGCGTTGCGCACCGAGTGTGTGGATGATCTCGCTAATCTTCCGCGAGGTCGCGAGCGCACCGGTGACCCCGAAGAGCACGAGACATCCCGAGTGCGTGCCGTGCGTGACCGGAGCGCACAGACTAACAAAGTTCACGAGCAGCCAATTGCTCGCGCGGAACCCGGAACGGCCTCCCGGTGCGCCAGATCCACCTCCTTTTGACACACACGCACTACAATACACACAAAAAGAGAGAAACGTGCATCTGACTGCTCGGCGTTCATTGAGAGCGAGCTCTGGACTCTTAAAGAGACAGTAGCCGCTGAGATACTGGATAGAGTTCGCTAAATCACTGCACTGTCACTTTAAGAAGAAGCACTTCCTCGTTCTCACGCAACTTCTAGATGCGGCGGTGGAGCCACTTCTCCACTGCACTGACACAACTGAGCTGCTGTGCTGTTGTGTGAAAGGTTTAGTTGGCCAATAAACGTTTGTTCTTGAGACACGTAGCCTGCTTATATTCCTATCGGACTGACTGATTGGGTATCTCTTTATAATGCCAATTTATAATGTACAATAATCATATATGTGACCCTGGATCAGGGTCACCTTTTTTTTGAAAGCTGAATAAATAAGCTTTCTATTGATGCATGCTTTGTTAGGATAGGACAATATTTTGCAGAGATAAAATTATTTGAAAATCTGGAATCAGGGTGCAAATTAGAATAATAATAAAATCACAATATTGAGAAAATCGCATTTAAAGTTGTCCAAATGAAGGTCTTAGCAATGCACATAGTACTAATCAAAAATAAAGTTTTGATATATTTACAGTAGGAAATTTACTAAATATCGTCATTGAACATTTACTTAATGATTTTTGGCATACAAAAATATTGATAATTTTGGCCCATACAATGTATTGTTGGCTATGGCTACAAATATAGCCTACCTGTGCTACTTATGACTGGTTTTGTGCTTCAGGGTCAATAATATCTAAAAAATCTATTTGTCGGTCTGTCTGTTTCTTCAATTTCAAAGTAGCATACTACTTGATACAGTATTATCAAAGCATCAGTAATCTGTATGTATGCTTTGACAATATTGTATGTAAAAGGGAGGTAAAAAAATAAGTAGTAACTATGAAAACAAACAACAAAAGCTTCCAGTAATGTTACCTATCTATACTGCATATGTTTTAAGGTGGTGAAATCATCCACAGAACTACTACTGAAGGTGAGATATCCATATATAGTCAATAATTAATAATTATCCTTAATATTTAAGATTTTACTATTTTTGTGCTAGTGTTGTAATTATCATAAAAACAGAGATTGAGAAACAGTATGAAGAAAATTGAATGAAAAAAACAAGCTTTGTTTATGTTATCTTCACTCTTTCTTTCTTTCTTTCTTTCTTTCTTGTTATGGTATCTCTCAAACCATAAAATAAACATTTTTGGTTCACCAAATAATATGTAAATGAATTTATATTTCATTGACATATTGTCTAAATTAAGTTTCTATATATAAACATTTGTGGAATGGAAAGGTTCATTGTGGAACCATCAATACAAGTAAAGTCCCTTTATTTTTGAGAGTGTGTGATCTTGGAGGCTTGGGTTTGACTGTCTTCTTGTGGACAGTTGCAGTAATACAGGTACTGCTAAATCATCACTTATTAATAATTTCCCCTTTAAACCATCAGGGGTTACAAATGAACCCAATGTAGAGCCAACCAACATGCCTCTCTCTCTGCAGGGGGCACTGATGTCTCTGAAGTATTGATGCTGATGAAGTCCTCCTCCTCTGATGGTGTCTGTTTCTGTACAGGGCTTCTGAAGGAGTTCAACACCAGCTCGTATTCAACACAGTGACATCATCAGAGCAACAGTGGACCCTCTGTTTATTGTCCCTGTCCTGTATTCTGCTATTGTGTCGTGTGATCCCTGCCAACGCATTAACACACGCATGCTATGCATGTCCAGGCAACACACATAAACACTCAGTCAACCTACATTATTCTATTAGGTTTATTAGGCAAATAATACACAGTAACACATCAATAAATAAATCAAATGAGATAATCATTAATTATACTGAGCATTGCAAAAAGACATAAAAACAATATGTGAGGCTGTGATACAACAACAAAATTAGAGTAACCTAATTACTGATCTTCATATAGCATGTAAAAGATCCTTCGGAAATCAAAGTAAGTCGCTAAAGGCTTGGAAATGTATTCAGATTCAATGAATTAGAGATTCCGATTTCTTAATGCAATTGCAGTTTCTTAAAATAAAAATGATGTCATACACCGTTATGTGGTTCTAAACGAATGTTATTCATTCTAGCACAAGTAGAAATTCTGAAAAAAAGCTTCAGGCAGCTCTTTTCCACATGAAGACAAACTGTCAAGTTCCAAAAAAGACAAAAGCATGTTCAAAGGTATCATATAACATCATTAATAAATGTTTCTGTGTGTTGTGAATAAGCTGTACGCTTACTGTATGTTTATGATATACCTGCTGAAAAAACCCCGGCTAAAACTAGCCTAAGCTGATTAGCTGGTCTTAACTGGTTTTAGCTGGTTGTTCCAGCTGGTCTCCCAGCCTGGGGTGCATTCCCCAAAAGCTTTGTCAGCTAAATATTGTCGTTTGTTCCACTCAATTCTATTGATAACGACAGAACTTGCGACCATAGTTGTTTTTGGGAAATGCACCCCAGACCAGCTAAGACCAGCCTAACAAGCTAAACAAGTGGCCAAAACCCCTCTAAAACCAGCTTGCGGACCAGTTGTGAATAAGCAGTACGCTTACTGTATGTTTATGATATACCTGCTGAAAAAAACCCGGTTAAAACTAGCCTAAGCTGATTAGCTGGTCTTAACTGGTTTTAGCTGGTTCTTCCAGCTGGTCTCCCAGCCTGGGGTGCATTCCCCAAAAGCTTTGTCAGCTAAATATTGTCGTTTGTTCCACTCAATTCTATTGATAACGACAGAACTTGCGACCATAGTTGTTTTTGGGAAATGCACCCCAGACCAGCTAAGACCAGCCTAACAAGCTAAACAAGTGGCCAAAACCCCTCTAAAACCAGCTTGCGGACCAACTAAAACCTTTTAGCTGTTTTTTTTTTCAGCAGAGCAAATACAAATGTCTAAAAAAATGGATAATAAAGAGCTAATTAAAATCAAATAAAAAAGCTGCATAAAGTCTATGCAAAATTCTCCTTTTGCGTTCCACAGAAAAAACAATAACAGCGTACAGTTTTTGAATTACATAATAGTGAGTAAATGATAATATTCCTGCATTTCTGCAGATTAAGGCTTCTAGGTGAGCACTAGGACACAGTTTATCCAGGCTGAGTCTTTTACGCTCACTTACACAAAGACCTTCTCCGGTTTGCTCTCTGCTGTGGACGGAGGGTTTCCTTTGGCGCCTTTTCCAAAAACAGGCATGGCTGGAACTCCAGGAGAGGTGGAGCCTAAATACAGCAAAGCCCCGCCCACCAGCATCAGCAAGGTCACGCCCCATCCCAGGTAGAGCGCCGATCCTAGTTCGCGTTTAAGCGGGGCGGCGACGTTCGGGTCATGGAAATCGCGTATCACGACGTGTGCGGTCCAACACACTGGCAAAAGGAAGAAAAACGCGGCCGCTACGAAGAGCGCCGCGCCGACCCGCACCAGCCGAGCTTTGGTCTCGTGCGCGTCGCCCAGGCAGCGGGTGCACTTGAGCCCGGTCACGCTGAGCATGAGCGCCAGCAGACACAGGAGCAGCGACAGCACGCACAGGGCGCGGCATGTCTGGGCGGAGCCTGAGAGGGCGAGGCCGGAGTCATAGACTTTACACTGCAGGCGGCCCCACTGTGACAGACACGTCATCCACAGCCCCTCCCACAGCACCTGAGACACCACCAGCTCGTCCCCCACGAATGCCGACACGCGCCACCAGGGGGCGGCACAGACCAGGATCCCGAACGCCCAGCCTGCCATGCCAAGGACCAGACCCATCACCTGAAGACCCGTGTTTGCCATGACTGATCGTCAACCGAAGACTGATTCACTCTGCAAAACAGAATGCATTTTTTTTAAAGGTTAGATTTAGAAATAAAATAAAAATGACAATGATTATGTCCGCAGTGCAATTTCTGCTGTCATAAATATTTTGATTTAATAAAATAAAATCTTTTTATATAAATGTGACTCTGGTCGTACGTGTCACGAATCCGGTCCATGAACTTCCGTCTGCTTGCCACCAGAGGTCACCCTTCCATTACATTGACTCTCGCACTACACAAACTGTTGCATGTCATCCCGGACTACATATCCCATCATCCATTGCACTGATTGCACACAGCACTGATTGCACACAGCTGTAACCAATCAAACATTCACTATGTAACACTCACTCTGATCCCTTTCAAACTGCCGAGTATTGTATAGTGTTTATCACTCTCATAGCGATATCTACTCTACGGAGCCTGTCTAGTTTTTCACAGCCTTATCTTAGTCTTGCCTTGTCTGTTTTCTCATGTCCTGATCTTTGCCTGTGTTTCTCAGATTCCCCCTCTTGTCTTGCCGTATTCAGATACTGTTTCCCCCTACCTGGACCTTTGCCTTGTACCTGGATTTATCCCTCTAGTCTCGCCCTGTTGATTCTGTTCACTGATCGTAGACCCACGCTAGCCCTAGGAATATTCTTGTGTCTTGCCCTTATATACCGGTTGCCACTATTTGACCCTTGTCTGTCTCTAACCATGTCTGTTAATGAAGCTTCGCACTTGGATCCTCACGTCTCGTCAGCCACGTAACAGTAAGTCACACGGGTATATTTGTAGCAATAGCCAACAACACATTGTATGGGTCAAAATGATCGATTTTTCTTTTATGCCAAAAATCATTAGGTTATTAAGTAAAGATCATGTTTCATGAAGATAACTTTAAAGGCAATTTTCTCAATATTTTGATAGTTTTTTTTGTTTTGTTTTTGTACCCTCAGATTCCAAATGTTCAAATAGTTGTATCTTGGCCAAATATTGTGATATCCTATACATTAATAATAATAAAAAAGACCCTTATGACTGGTTTTGTGGTCCAGGGTCACAAATAGAATCAAAATTATGCATTAATAATATCTTTTAATAAAAAAGTGATTATTTATATTAATTACAAGCATCATATAATAACATCATTTGAAAATTATGAATTTCACTATGACGGTTAAGTAAGAAACTCTTTAAGTAGAGAAACTACTATTGATCAGTAACACTAAAGTTTCCATTAGTTAACACTAGCTAATGTATTAACTAACAGTGATACATTTATTACAATGTTTATTAATCTTTATTAATGTTAGTTAATAAAATGTTCATTGTTAATTCATGTTACATGTTATTAAATAATATTACCAACTATAACTTTTGATTTGAATAATGTATTAGTAAATAATGATATTTCCATTAACTAAGAATAATGCATGCTTTAGAAGCATTTTTAATTGTTAACAATGTTTTACTAACTAATATTAACAAATGAAACCTTTTTATGAAATGTTACCAAAATCTCTTCACTTAAAAAACAAAACAAAATTCTTATTGAACTCACTAAACCTGACCTTACTAAAACTGACAGCAACATAATTACAAAAACAATTCAGAGGTATAATTCAAAGAAATTATTTTGCAAGATGAAGTTTCTTCAGTACTTACAGTGTCTGAGGAGCGTCTGTGTGTGTTGTGCTGTTGTTGGACTCTCATCTGTGTTTGTAGAAACACTCTCTTTGTTCTTGCATGTGGGAGTAAATCAGCATCTGAGCGACAGACAATATCATCTCATAATAATGTCCACACACAGCATAAATACAGCACGCACTTATGCAAACGCACACACAGAGAGAGCGAGAGAGAGAGAGAGAGAGAGAGAGCCACAGTCATGTGAACACATGCAAGCACACCACCACAAACACATACACTATACTGTACATTCATTAGAAAGCCACATTGCAACTAATAGACACAAATATGTTTTTTTCTGTTCACACCAAAGCAGTAGGTGGCAGCATGGAGTCCTAAGAGACCATTCAGCAAATTCAAGACTATTATCATTGTAAGAACTAACCGTAAAAGGTGTTTGCGTGACCCTCTTCAGTCACATTCACATACTTGCCATTATTCTGATTAGCAATGCTAATTATTTTCCCGCCAATTTGTCACTATTCACTTGTAACCCAGACAATTTGAATCGGTTTGTTGCTGGCATTTTGATTTGCCAACCGTGCCTCATTTTCTTACAGTGCTGCTGTGCTTGTTTAATTGGCTCTCAGATGAAAATAAAACTGTATTTAGTCCACTTTATCTCTAAATGATGACTGATATGCGCGCACACACACACACACACACACACACACACACACAGTCTGTTGAGCTGTAAGAAAAACATCGACCGCTCAATTCACTATGAAACTGAAATAAAAGGGTCTGTGTGATGCATTTTTTAAACCATGAGGAAGTGGTCACACACACTTCCTGTGTCAGGTTCACACAGACAAAGACAGAGAGAGAGAGTTTAAACGGCTAAAACAAACTGCATGGACACAATGTCAGCAACACATAAGCCAGAAGGTAAGTCTAAATGAAATAGCCTAATGTGATCCTCACAGAATACAGCTAGTTTAATACCATACCGAGAAATGAATACTGTGCTTTTTGTTTCTGGTGGTTGACAGTCCAGCACGGGACTGTTTTCTAAATACATTTTTGACCATGCAACTTGCGTGTTCCTCTCCCGCCCGCACTGCAAATATTCTATATATTATATATGATTTTCGTGCATCTGGGTGCCGCTATCAGTATGCTGGGTATTGAAATCACTTTTGAATGAGCGCTTGCTGTTCACTTTTACTTTCAATTTTGCAATCGCACATGCTGTGCAAGGGAGCACATTTTTACAAGATATAACCACTGCTTTACTGCAAATACCATGGTTAAACTATGGTTAGTGTAGCCAAACCATATGGTTAATTTGTGGTTACCACACTCTAAAAAATTATGGGTTAAAAACAACCCAGCGCTTGGTAAAACATGGATAAACCCAGCGGTTGGGTTAATTGTTTAATCCAACTTTCTAGGTAGTTTTATTCAACTCAAGTATTGTTTAAAAATTACCATATGGCTGGCTTAAAATGAACCCAAAATAGGTTTTAAATAAAAAATCTGACACATAATTACTAGAGCCATCAGCAACGTTTAAAATGTGTTAATAAGCAATTAAAAACGTTTATTACATAGTTATTATTTATCCAACTGATTAATAAATGTTCATTTATTGACCATATTAATACATGTTCATTTCCAACCTATTTTGGGTTTATTTAAAGTAAGAAATATAGTAATTTTTAAGCAATAGTTGAGTTGAATAAAACTACCCAGAGGGCTGGGTTTAAACATTTAACACAAGACGTGGGTCAGTCCATATTTCACCCAGCATTTTTAGAGGGATGGTTAAACCATGGTAATCACGTTTTGGTTTTATTTGTAGTAAAACCATGGGATGTGTATTATAGTTATGAAACTGGCATATTTTGAGTTTTGACATTTAGGATATGGTCATTGCACTACTTTGGGCTGTTTTTGACTGACCATTGGGCTAGCTTTGTCACACTGACCTGGGAACCCTGGCTGTATGGAGCAGACTCTATACGTTTAGAATTGTAACATGCATTTTCCAACTGAACTAAATGATTTTTACCAATCGTACTGAGACATTTAAAATGAGATAGCAGAAGAAAAGAAAAGAAAAGAAGGCGCGTTTAGAATCACAGAAGCATTTGTAAATCATCCAGAGCTCCAGCTAATGACATGAACTGTTTCACAGGTGATTCACAGGATCTGAGGATCGTGCTGCTGGGAGTCTCCGGAGCTGGAAAGAGTTCAACAGCAAACGCAATACTGGGTCGAGAGGCGTTTAAAGAGAGCAGAACCAGAGAGAGTGAGAAACAGAGAGGAAGAGTAGAAGACAGAAACATCTCTATCGTCGACACGCCAGGATTCTTCAACACTCAGCTGACTGATGAAGAGCTGCAGAGTGAAATGATGAGGAGTATGTTCCTCGGTTATCCTGGTCCTCACGTGTTCCTGCTCCTCATCAACCTCGACACCTTCAGAGAGGAGCAGAGGAACATTGTGGAGCAAATTCAGGAGAACTTTAGAGCTCAAGCTTTAAAGTTCACCATGGTGCTGTTTATTGGAAGAGAAAAAATGGCGACTAGACAATGGAATCTCTTAATGAAAAGCAGAAAGTTTCAGAACCTTGTCAGTCACTGCAGAGGACAATTTCATGCACTCAACAGTAAAAACGACATTATTCCAACTCACATCACAAAACTTCTAGAGAAGATCGATGAAATCATCAAATGGAATGATGGCCAGCATTATGACATTCACAATTTCTTAAGATATCCAATAAGACGCAGAAAAGAAAACAAGGAGCCGATTCACATGCAGAGTGTAAAGGAAAAGAGCACAAGAAATGTTGTTACTGAAAAGAAAGATTTTATTTTGCATGTGAGAACTCAATTATATGATGACAGATGCTCTAGAGTTTCACAAGAAAACAAGAATGAAGAAGAAGAAGAAGAGGCAACACAATCAGAAAGCTGGAAAATGAGCAGAAAAAGAAAATGGGACCAGAAGGAGCAACAGACAGAGACAGAAAAACATCTAACCCAAGCAGGTGAGAACCTGCAATTTATTGCTTTTTCGAAGCATCATGACATATTTCTTGAAAATTAAATGAAATTGTATTGTTACTTGTCTCAAACAGAGTCCATACAGAGCAGCCACATAAAACCTGGCAAGTGCACAGATCTCAGGATCGTGATGGTGGGGAAAACTGGAGCTGGAAAGAGCGCAACAGGAAACACCATCCTGGGACGAAAAGCGTTTAAAGAAGAATTATGCTCTGAATCTGTGACTGAGAAATGCCAACAACATCAGCAGACCGTAAAAGGTCGAATCATCTCAGTGATCGACACTCCAGGACTGTTTGATACGTCAATCAGCGAAGAACAGCTGAAGAATGAACTAATGAGATGTGTAGAAATATCTGTTCCTGGTCCTCATGTGTTTCTGCTGGTCATCAGACTGGACGTGAGATTCACAGATGAGGAGAAAAACACAGTGAGATGGATTCAGGAGAACTTTGGAGAAGATGCTGCACGTTACACCATCATCCTGTTCACTAGAGGAGATCAGTTAAAAACATCCATAGAGGAGTTTCTGAGCAAAAACAAGCAGATAAGAAATCTAGTTGAACAATGTAAAGGAGGTTATCATGTTTTTATTAACACAGCTGAAGAAAATCAATCACAGGTCACTGAACTGCTGGAGAAGATAGACAGAATGGTGGTGGAGAACGGAGGAGAGCATTACACAAATGAGATGTACAAGGAAGCTCAGAGGAAAATAGAGGAAGAAGAGAAGAGGAGGAGAGAAGAAGAGGAAAGAAGTAGGCTGCTGAATAAAGCTAAAGATGCAGTCTTAATGGGAACAGGTGTGGTAGTGGGTGCAGGAGCAGCAGTTGTAGTTAGTGGAGGGGCACTTAGTTCAGCTTTTATCTCAGGAGCAGCAGTTGCAGGATCTGCGGCTCTGGCCTCTGCTTTGCAAGGAGCGGCGCTATCTGAAGCTGTAATAGCAGGAGTAGTAGCTGCTGGAAATGCAGCACTGAACTCTGCTTCTGGTGGTGGTAATAGGAAGAAGGAGAATGGAATCACGTTTCAGTGAAAGCAGCTGTGATTTTCCATCAGTTTCTGATGCTATACTGACTTAAAATAGGGTACTAATAAAAGTAAACTGAAAACATTTGACTGAATTTGTGTTTCTTATGATCTTAATGGTCCTGTAACAGCATTCAGTCCTGTTTAAGAACAACAAAGGAAGTACAACATCACTGCATGTCTTTCCTTTAAGCATTTCTGGTAGTGTACAATCCAGTACTGCAAAATCAGTTGTAGTAGCGCACACTTTTTGAGTCAAACTAAAAAGCCATGATTTCCAAGCCAGCCAGTCTTGAATGATCAAAATTCTGTTCACCTACCAGAAATACAATGCATGTGATATCTGCATGTGAGTTGTTTGCACTGAACATTTCCCACTGCATTTAACGCAGTTCATGCATCCAGTTGTCATTTTATTCTAGCAGGAGAAGGATTTGCACTGGGAGCATTATCGGCTCTGAAGCGACTGTAGGTAGACACGATGAGACCTCAGAGAATTTACAAACACTAGTATAAATGGTACCAAAAACAAATACAAATAATTTTTTTAAAATAAAACCAGAATATATTATATCATGTTCCAGTATGACAGTGTTTATAGTGAACAATAGATTTGAGTCTCAGAGTCTTACGCAATGATGTGTGATTTAGTAGTTTAAATATGTGACAGATCTCTTTGCGTTAAAATAATATTATTTATTAATTATATTTTGAGTATTGTAATCAATTGTGATCAAAGTGATTTCCATCCAATCAATTCTGGATGCAGCACATATTGTATGAAAGCAGAAGATATAAGATGAATACCATCTTGAGGTTACCTGAAAAATGTTATAAATGTTTAATTTTCCTTCTTGGGCTCTAGCCAGCTAGGGCCATATCTTTGGTTTGAGGGGCCCCGGCGTAGGTTGTACCTGTAAATAGCACAAATCAATAAATATAACAAAGATGCATATTAAGCAATGTTTGAGTTTTTTCAAGTTTGTAGGTGTCCAGCTACAGAAACCGAATAATCAAATGTAAAATATAATTGCATTCACTGTCTAAATTAAACATAGATTAATTCTTGTTAAAACTACTGGTATAATTCAGTAAAGAGCTGGGAGGGATTTTCTCCCGTCTAATTTCTTGGATCAACATTAAGGCCGGGAAACACCAAGCCGACTTCAAATAACTAGCTGCGATGAAAGCCGACAGTGTTTTCGTCTCGAGTCGGCAGCGTCTGGACCAAAAAGCTGCACTTAAACACACACCTCTCAGACTACAGCCGACTGCAAACTAACACGTGCGTTCTGCGTCTGCGTGAGAGGAGTAAACTGTCTATATCAGCAGCTATCAATAGCATATATTCGTCATTTAAAAGGAGAAACCCAAACAAAGATAGCCTATACGAGACAAACGCAGATATAAGAAGCGTAAACAAATCAGGGCTTGCTTACCATTTTGAATATTAGTTATGTTGATAACTTTCTTCCTTATGACCATATGCCACCAATGCTCTGCTCTGCTCTAGAAGACTTGGGATGTAGTGCAGAATGTGGACGGTTTTTATGGTGCCTTTCTATTGATCCTTCAGAAATTATTCTAATATACTGATTTGCTGCTTAAGAAACATTTCTGATTATTATCAATGTTGTGAAAACAGTTGTGCTGCTTCATGTTTTTGAGGAAAATGTGATACATTACTATTTAGTAAAATGAATAAGCCTCAAAAGATAGATAAGATAGTGAAGATAGTGAATTGGTGGGTTTTTGTTAAATGTGAGCCAAAATGGTTGCATTAAATTGATTGAAACATTGATTGAAAAAAGTGACAGTAAAGTTATCATATGAATGCAGTTCTTTAACTTTGTATTCATCAGCTAATCCTGAAAAAGTTAAAGTATCAGTTTCCACAAAAATATTAAGCAAAAACAGATTTCAGTATTGATAATAATAAGGACAATTAATAATAATTGATCACAAATACTAAATTATAATAATTAAGCAGCAAATCAGCATATTATACTGATTTCTGAAGGATCATGTGACACTGAAGACTGGAGTAATGATGCTGAAAATTCAGCTTTGATCACAGGAATACATTAGCCTACATTTTAAAATATCTTTAATAGAAAATCACTATATTATTATTTTTTACTGTTATTTTATCAACTAAATTCAGCCTTCTTTCAATAAATGAATGAATAAATAAAAAGTCTTAATTATTTCAAACATTTGACCGCCAATGTGTAGCTATATAAAATAATGCATGTGATCTAAATAGCAAATTATATTTTTATTAGGGTATAATAGACCTATATATCACTTTAATCACGGCACTTGAAAGCGAAAGTCTTCAGATTTGATATGAATGATATTTTACGGTTTATTTTTTTTCCGTTTTCTTAGACACGTAAGAAAGCCTGGATAGAGATTTACAAACATTCACTCTTATCTTATGTTTTACCAAATAACATAAATGGCATTAAGAAATTCGAAATTTGCATCCCTGAAAAGTAATGTCTGTCGTTTTTTAATCTTAAGCGGTTGTCAAATATTGCTGAATTGTCTCGTCATGCTGCTATATTCCATTTTGTCACAGACATGCTTAAAATGTCTCCACCCAGCTTCTGATAATCAACAAAACACATGATAACCACAAAAAGAATTACATTTTCCATTTTAAAAATAGAATTACACTAACATAATCACAATATTCTGTTTATATGAACTTAATCGCAGTTCTGTCAAAGAGTATAGAAGACCAAGAGGCGAAACTCTGATGCTTTTTGGGTAACAGCCACTAGGTGTTGCTTCGGTAGCGCGGCCGCCATTTTGGGGTGAAAATTCCAACTGGACAACAGCACAGATATACAGAAATAGACAGAATAACAACGAAAGAGAGGTCAAAGTGGAATAAAAGAACGCAATGTTGGGCAATCCACTGCAAAAACTATCAGTGTGACAGTAAAAATATTGCCTTTCATTGTTTTCCCAAAGACCCTGACAGGTAATTATTCACAAAAGTGTAAAATATTGTGTGTTTTGAAGTGGGGACGTAGCGCTGTCTTATGCACCTGCTAACTTTAACTGTTTTTAGTCTAGTAGTAAACTTAAATCCTTGTAGCAACTGCAGGTCCTAAACCATAATAATGATTTATATGGCTAATGAGCTTATGCAACTTTACACATTTACAATTACTTACTATATTATTATTTACTATTACTCCACTAGGTCTGAAATATTGTACGTTTTAATCCCCTGGAATGCACTACAAACATGATGATCTAGATTACAACATGATGCATTGCTGTGTCTGTCATAATTAAATAATTAAACCATTTCAGAGAAAGTGGCTGTACGAGTGTGTGTGTGTGTGTTTGTTTACATGGTTTCTAGAGAGCAAAAGGTTTTGTGAAAAAAAGAGAAGACTTTAAAATAAAATCTGTATAAACTGTTAAAATGATTTGATGATCACTAGTCTAGTGATTGTACGATATTGTTGTCATCGTTCAGGCTGTATTTCAGCTTTAATGTGCGGTTTTTTAAACAAAGCAGTTGATATTTGCCATAGCGGCAGCTAGAAGCTAGTGGACTGCCGAGTCGCTTTCACCTCAAAATGGCGGAAGCGCAGGGCTGCTGCTGGGCGCCGCTGTTGCAATGGAACGTTCTATTGAGTTTCGCCTCTTGGTCTTCTATACTCTTTGGTTCTGTCTTGATAAAGAATGAGAATGTGACGTAACACCGTGTTGAGTTCTGGGAAACTGCTTTGTTTATCCGCCATACTTGCAGGATAGCGCTGCCTTTCCGCTATTGAGTTTAGGGCAGTATTTGATTGTTTGTCGTGATTGTGAAAAATGTCACCGGTGTATGTCATTCATACTGCATCGAGAATTGCAATAGTAACTCAGATCATCGTTCTGAGAGAAAACTGGACAATGCAATATGTTTTTTCGCCTTTTCTATGTGTAAAAACACCAAGGGAAGTAGGTCGCGGAGAATAGTAAATCTGTTAATGTCACTGATTAAACCCACTGACTCTCACTCAATAAAAGAATCACATTGCTGTGTGTTTTTGAAAGTTTTGATTTGGTTGGTTTAATAGTTAACATTACCTTCTTTGCGAGCATGACTCTCACTCGGCTTGTGAATTAGCAGAACTTGAACTGGGGACTTTCTAAAATGCTTAAAGTGGCTTAATGTACCAAGACAGTTATAAAGACTACTCTACCACTCTAGTCAATGCTTGTGTTTATTCCAGCTGCGCCACGCACGTTTCTGTAATTTTTTTTTATAAATATAGCCAAAATCGGTCAAAATCCCACCAAAATCCGTTGCCATGACTTATCGCGAGAGGCAAACGGTTATGTTTTAGTTGCATAACATTGGTTAATGGAAACGCCGTAATTTTGCAATACTTTTTTATAGATATTTATAAAATATCGCCAAAGTTTTGCGCAAATCTGTAATGGAAATGCGCTTAGTGATTTAAAGACCACATTCTGTACACACATCTAACTAATAAAGCATAATATATGCGGAAAAACAGATGAGGCCAAAATATGAACTTTAGAAATCACTGTCTTAATCCATAAACGCTTTCTAGATTACGGTTTTCTAAAGAGAGGAAAACGCTTTACGTTTAACCTTTAAACATGTCGCGTTAATATTCTGGCTCATCTGCATGTCTTTTAGCATCACTGTCTTAGCACATTAAACCAGCATTTAAAAATGCTACAAAACTTTCCCCAAGCTCCTAGGGATTTGATTTTGCTTGTCATTTGTTGAAGTAAATATAAAAAGTACAGAAGAAATGTATTGATTACACTCTGCTTCTGTTTACAGAGTAATGCCTCATTACGTTTCTCTGGTTGCCACCGCCAGAAGCTGCTACATGTGTGTTACGCGCAGGTATAATACACAGCCAATGGGTGGTCTTGTGATATTTAATATACAAGATCTTTGATGATGGTAAGGAACAGAATGGGTTTGGAATTTAGGTGTTTATTTTTAATAAAAAAAAAAAAAAAACTATGTTTATAGGTGAATTCAGGTAAAGTGGGCCATTTAAAGTGGGGAAGAGTGAAAAGTCAGTGAAGTGACAGTGAAGTGTGGCCAAGTATGGTGACCCATACTCGGAATTTGTGCTCTGCATTTAACCTATCCAAGTGCACACACACACACACACACACACACACACACACACACACACACACAGACAGTACTGAACACTCACACACACACACACACACATACACACACACACACACACACACACACACACACCGTGAACACACACCAGGAGCAGTGGGCAGCCATATTGCTGGACCTGAGACTCGAACCGGCAACCTTCGGTCAAGTCAGACTCTACCCATTATTTAGGCCACGACTGCCCCCCTTCATAGAAGGTAGAAAACCCTTCATCGTAAGATTTTCATTTCTAAATTATAAGGTTGCTCACTAAATGGAAACAAATATTATTGGGACAGTTCCTGCTGTTTTTGTTTCACCAGGTAGCAGGGAATAAAATGCAAAGAACAACATTTTTAAAAAGGTGTTTGTTTTCTTGTAAGGTGTTTAAATATTGCTGGCCAAGTTTGGAATTCAGGTAAAGTGGGCCAACTTTTAACCTTCAATAATTATACTCAAATTCATTAAATAAATTGTCATTCACAGGTTATTTTGTGTTATAGTCACATTTTTAACATACTGTATATGTAGTTCATTTCATCAATATTCTGATTTCTGAATATTCTGCTATTCAGATTGAATCACATTTAATGTCAACACAGCATGTTATTTCATTTGTTTTCACACATGAATTGAGATGAGGATTTACAAATGATTGTTAAATATGTTTGCTTGAAAATATGTGTTAATAAACCATGTCTTTTAAATTAAAATGCAGAATAATTTTGATAAATAAGGGATGGCCCACTTTACCCTCTCTCTCTCTCTCTCTCTCTCTCTCTCTATATATATATATCAATAAAATACACTCTTAAAAATAAAGGTGCTTAAAAGGTTCTTCACAGCGATGCCATAGAAGAACCATTTTTGGTTCCATAAAGAAACATTCAGTCAAAGGTTCTTTAAAGAACCATCTCTTTCTTACCTTTTTATAATCTGAAGAACCTTGTTTCGGCGCAAAGAACCTTTTGTGAAACAGAAAGGTTCTTCAGATGTTAAAGGTTCTTTATGGAACCATTTAGACAAAAAACGTTCTTCTATGGCATCGTGAAGCACCTTTATTTTTAAGAGTGACGTTTCAGGAAAGCCACACATTTGCGAGTAATTCACATTCACACACTCTCTCTGCTGCTCTTTAGCATTGTTTATTATTTTGTTTATTAACATATTTTCGAACAGAAATGCATTCAAATAGTACAGGAAAACACAAACGCAAAATGCAATTCACATTTCAACACAATATTCAAGCTAAGTAATTTTCTTATTTTTATAGTTTAGTTTTAAATGTAAATCCACAATATCAATAAAACATGTGTCCCTCATTCCTGAAAATACATTTAGCTATTTTTATATAGTACAGTACAATTTTTAAGTGATGTACTGTAAAATGGGCCTTTATAGAAGAAACGGTTATTCATTTGGAGCTTTCCGAGCTCAAAAAACAAAGATGTAATTGAAAAGTTATCAATTTTTACTCCCACACAACTGTATGTTTCCATACAAGTAATTTATTTCTCTTTACCATGCGCACATTAAATCGTTTTCTGGAGTTTTCAAATGTGATTGTTTTGAGAATAGCACAAATGTGGTTTTTACCCTCCACCAATAATAATAATAATACAAATCATCATTTAATTAGTCACTTAATTATCTCATTAAATTTAACTCTTTGAGGACTTGGGATATGACTTGAAGACTTGCTTGTGACTTGAAAGTCCCACCTCTGCTGTATATTAATGACACTTGAGCAGAATGTATTACTTCCTGAACATGATGCTGTGGTCCTCAGTGTTGTTTGGCACAGCAAAGACATCTGAAGAACTTCATGTACTGCTCCCTGACCTGAACAAGAATGAGACGAGAGGAGAGGAGCTGAGTGACTTCATGAGATCGATTTAACCTCTGAAACTCATGAACCAGAATGGAGTTTGTTTGGAATAAACAGGTTATAAAAAGTGGCTTTTAGATACTAGATCTGCATTTTTAGAAATAAATATTCTTGCTTTCCTTTACTTCCAAAACCTATGCGGGATGATAAAATGTATTATTAGGACAAAATAAAGAAGAAGAGAAAAAATATTTTGACCTGTGATGCTATCTTTTGAAAACAGAGCCTAACATTTTTAAGTAGTTTTAAAAGCTTGGAGATCAAAGCCATTCTCTGTCATTGTAAATGAGAATTTTTAACAGTTGGAGTCCGAATAGTTTGATTTGAACATTCCATCACAGGAAGGAAATGGAAGCGTAAAGGTCATTGCACACAGAGTCCGAAATTTTCATATGCTCTTTTTTGTATTCGTTATTCTAAAAATTTGTCACGCACAGAAACCTTGCACACGGAGTCCGATGCGTATTAATCCGTTGCAGAAAAATTTGCAAAGCAGTACTAAATGGAGTCTTCAAGCAGTGAGGATGATTTTGTTGTCCTCTCGCTTCTTAAAAAGAGAAAAAGAAAGGAAATATTGGGTCCATATAGTCCTGAGATATAAAGAGGAAGGCATTAAGGAGCAGCGGGATTATCACGGGCGATTCAAAGTTTACTTCAGGATGTCAGTGGCTCAGTTTAATGCTTTCCCAGCCATAATAGAGCCAAATATTAAAAAGAAGACCACCAATTTCTGTGAACTAAGTGTGCAAGTATCTTTACAGTGCTTTGTGCTTATGAGACGAAGTGGATCAACTTGACAGTCGCCATTCTGGATTTTGTTGTTCGCTTGTACGGTGGCTCTGAATTGTCAAAACACCTCTCAAAATGCATCTGCGTGCTTGGAGCAGTCAAATGGAGAATCTACCTATACATATGGCTACAACAATGAGCATGATGTTATTATTTACACAGTCGTCAAGGTTACGCCGAGCGAATGTGAGCAGCCACGCCATCGTTTTCCAAAGTCTCTGTTTTGGTCAGTTTACACTTAGTCACAGAACACCAAAAAAAGAACAGGACCTCAGTGAAAACATCCAGTTTACACATGTAAACTGAGTGATGTCTGACCTCATTATTGAGGACACCGTAGATCAGGAAGATGAAGGTTCCCTGCTGGGAGTTCAAGATCAGGAAGAGGATCTCCAGCACCTTACTGCCATTAGTGAAGAAACCCAGAATCCAGGAGCAACCAAGAACCACAAACTGAGCCAGTGTTTTAAACACCATAATCCTGCAGAGAAACAGACAAAGAATGAGTGTTAATGTGTCTTTAATGACTATGTGGTTTTCTATAGAGTGATTCAATAATAATGTTACTTGGTTTGCTTCATCTGTGAAACTTCAGCATTGAGATTTTTGAGAGCTGTGTTCAGAGTGATGACGATCTTGATGAAGAGAACCGTGTTTGACTGCAAAGTAGAAGAGTAATTAATCACCTTGTATTCCTTTTAATATAAATAAAAGTCATGAGAAATAAGAAATGTGTTTACTGCTAGTATGACACAAACAGGACCCAGAAAACTCCAGATGAAGCCTTTATCCATTTTAATCCAGCAGCTGTTTAGAGAAAAATCAATATAAAAACTGAATGAATTTGTCAGAAATACTATTTCAGGTGTTGACAGGTTATATATTACAGATTTTAGTCTTGTGCATGACACTGATACAGCCTGTGTGTATATTTTATCAGATAGCAGAAGTATCACAAAAGTCCTGAGCTGCTTTATTTCCTTCTAATCAAATTAACTTCAAAACAACAACAACTCACTCTTTGCTGCCGTAGCCATCAGGAACCAGACCGACAGACACACACACCACAACCAGAGCAGGAAAAACACATTTCAGTCTCTCACTCTGATGTGTTTTAGGGTGAAGTTGACTGGTTTGGTGAGTTTAGTGTTGGTGGTTTTGGGAAGAGTAGCTGAGATCACAGTGGACATCATGGTTTTAATCGTGTTGCTTGATGTGTTGAAGAAGTCTGGCTTCAGTAGATTCTCCATCGTGACGTAGCTCATGAAAGCCACAGCAGCAGATCCTGTGTAACAGAAACAGAAAAATAAACTTACATTAAATAATATATGCTACAATAACAACAACAACAACAACAACCAAAAAGTAAGAAAATGTGGTTTAGTGGTAATGGTATAATATATCTTCCCACATTTTTTAAATCAAACTAAAACATTTGACATACTTTCAATGTTGTTCTTGGATATCCCAATGAGATCAATGTCCACAGAAGAATTTGTCGTGTCAAGTTGAGGGATTTTATTTAAGGTGACCTGTGGTCCAACCATGAAGACTTGACCCTCTGATTAAACACAAACAAGCAGTTACGTGCTATTTAATTGTATGTACTATATATATATATATATATATATATATATGAAAGTTCACTAAAATAATTTACTTTGCACAAAGGTCATGTCTGATTTAGTTTTAACCTATCTAGTCTATTTGAATAAATGTAAATGTACAAAAAAATCATTACTATTGTCATTATTATAGTCTTAGTATTTCCTGTGTGACCTAGTTTTTATCTCCCCTTTGATTTCGTCATTTGCTTTACCTGTGTCTCATTAATTATCCTCATTTGCCCTCCTATTTAAGTTGAAGTCAGTTCTTGGTCCTGTATTGATGTTATAACATTGTCTTTATGTGTGTCTCCCGCCTACCTTCTGTCGATTTACCCTCTGTGTGGATTTATTAACAGACTATTCGCCTCCATTCATCTTCTTCGTTCTCATCGCAGTGTGACATAATACCGGATCGTTTAAATAATGGAATGGGCAACCCCATTAATTTCCGTGGCTAGGGAAAGCCACGATTTTTTAGTTTTCTTTACGTTTTTCACGTCTCGCCACCCTTAGCCCCTTTGACAACGAGACTCTGAAATCACTATACTGGATCAGGGCAAATTACCATCACCCCGTGGACCTCCCAGACACGACGGGACTGAGCTGGAGGGAGGCAATGTTCCGGTCCGTGGAGAGCCTCTGGCCCCGATCCAGTACAGCGCAAGACCCAGAGCCCAGCAAAACTTCACCCCGCTGTGCGGAGCTGCTCGAGCCCACCGCAGACGGAGAGCCAGAGCCTGCTGCGGTCAAGTAGCCATCACCCATCGGAGTGACAGAGCTGAAGATTGCCAAATGTCTGACCAGGTGCATGTGCCGACAGCGCAAGCGACGGTGGATACTGCAGTGGAGATCATGGGGGCGAAGAAAAGCTCCCTCCTCTCCGTCGTGGTCCATCAGCCCACTAGCTCCACTGGGCTCCCTTGTCCCTCTGGCTCCGCCCTGATCGGTTGTTGACCTGCCCTCGCCTCGGGACTACACTCCTCCGGCTGCACCTCGTTCCTCTGTCCCTCTGGCTCCGTTGGGCTCCTCCCTCCCTCCAGCTCCACCTTGGTCCCCCTGTCCCTCCGGCTCCACCGTGGCCTTCTGGATCCCTGCCTGCGCCTCGGTCACCTGAGCCATCTGCTCTGCCTTGGCCCTCTGGATCCTCTGCGTCACCCTGGCTCATCGACTCCCCATCTCTGCCTTGGGCTCCTCTCCCACCTGCTCCGCCGCTGTCAGTTGGCCCCCTGGATTCATCAGCCCTTCCTTCACCATGGCTCCTCCCTCCATCGGTTCCACCGTTTGACGTCAAGTTGGCTGCAGTCTGGGTCCCTCCTGGCTCCTCCTGCTCTAGCTTCCTCCTGTCTTCTCCCTGGCTCCTTCCTCCGTTTGATCCTCCCTGCCTCCGCCTGTCTCAGTCCTGGCTCCTCCCTCCGTCTGATCCACCCTGGTCCTTCCTGATTTGTCCCTGGCTCCTCTCTCCGTCTGAGCCTCCCTGGTCCCTTCTGGATCCTCCCTGGCTCCTCACTCCATCGTTGCTGCCATGGTTATCTGCCTACCTTCCTGCCTGCCCTTCACGACTGCCTTGTCCCCAGCCCTACCCACTCCCGCCCTCCTTTGTCCGTCCTGCCCGGGCGCGAGGTCGCACCTTCGGGGAGGGGGGGAGTACTGTCACAGTCTGTGTCATTATTATTTTCTTAGTCTTCCCTGTGTGACCTAGTTTCTGTCTCCTCTTTGATTTCGTCATTTGATTCATTAGAGCTACTATAATTCAATAACACATCACCCGTATAATCAGAGATGAGAGTCTGATCATGATGAACGAATCAGATGATTGTCTTCAGCATCAGCATCATCTGATCATGTTTGCTCGTGGCTTTTCTTTCCATAACATTAAGTTAATTCTTTGTCGTCTAATTTTTTATCTTAAAATCAATTTTATACACCATAATTTTCGTTTCTATAACGTGTGAATATATCCCCTATCGTATTCTACAACAAAAACAATCAGAGCACCTTGTTATCACTAGTTCTATTTTTGACTTCCCGAGTCCGCTATTAGCATATAGCCCGCTAGCATCGCCAGCGTGGTTGCCGCTAATCTTGCTTACATTACTAATACTCTATTCACACACACATTACCATTGTTTTACTCACTGTTACTTGCTTTAATGGCGGTTGTGTGTGTCTACCTTTGAGTGCAGGTGGGGACACATTCGAGCTGCATCTCCACCCGGAACCGCTTCGCTCCCCTCCACGAGACGGAACGCGACGCTGTGATTGTCGGAGACTCCATCGTCCGGCACGTCCGTGCTATGTTAGCTGAAGGTAAAGTGCACACTCACTGTTTCCCTGGTGCTCGTGTTCTCGATGTTTCTGCGCAGATATCCGCGATCCTGAAGGGCGACGAGAGCACCGGAGACACAATCTGTATTGTTAAAAGTGCTATATAAATAAAGGTGACTTGACTTGACATAACAACTGTAACATCTCTGTCTTGTGAAACAGACCCCCCATAAGCTGTGGATTCACCACGTGAATCATGAAACAGAAATATTACAGAAGGACCTAAAGATCTCCACCCTATCAGCCATCATGAGATTGAAACTAATCCAATCAGGAGACAACACAGAGATATTTTGTATCAGGACTGAAAAGTTCTTTCACGACATATAGATACCTCATGATGGCTAATGTATGGAACCAGTGTAGGCACAGGAAGTAAATTAACTGACGCCCTCAGGCCTGCAAACACGGGATCTATGCGTGACTATCACATGACGTTTGACCATCTGCTTCCTGCCCTTTCTGAAACCCTTACAAACTTCTCTTACAACAAAAGAAATAGAACCTTGCATGACGATTTTAAAAGACAATCTTTTAAAACTATCAGTAAGTAGTGAAAATGTATCCACTGTATGTGTTATGCCATATATATACTGTATATTTGATGTGTTTATTGGAATCTATGATATTTTAATACTTGCCTTATAACTCTTTTTAGCAGACAAAGCATTTAATATGTATGTAAGATATGTGAAGTTTAGTATCGGGTGAAAGCTTGTTTTATTCACAGAACATTGGTGTGAGTGAAAAATTTATATTCTGCATCATTTTCCGGTGATGATATTTTTATAATAAGTTCTTAAAACTTGCAGAAATACTCCCCACGAACAGCATGTGACTTGTGCACGAAAAATGAACCACACAGGGCGTGGCTAAGCCCCGCAGTCACTATCTGATTGGAACAACGACCTGTGGGATGGACAAAAGTCAGCCTGCTTAAAAATGGACACAAAGCCCTTGCTGGCTCGCTCGCTCTCTCTCTAGAACTGTGGCTTTTCGCCTTGATGACCGCGCGACAAAGCGCTCCCATGCCGTAACATCACGAGCGAGACTCCAAAACTCAAACATTTCAGTTGAAACTCTGCGACTGCCGAACTTCAAAGCCTAAAGCCAAGCAAAGGAACTCTCAGAAGAACTCAAAACATCACTCTCCGTGCCCAAGGCAACCGAAATACTCAAATTGTTAAAATATACTGAGGTTAACGTCTCGCTGGACGACCGTTGATAAAGTATAAACTATCAAATTTGAAATCAGTTCTAATCAGGTTGACTTCGAATCTTCAGATCCGATTCCTCTCAAAACCTGAGCTAGAAATAGAATTAATGAGTTAAATTCCTTACACAACTATGCTTCATATATTCACAGTTACAGCACCCAGAGAAAAAAAATAATGTTAAAAATTTAAGAGTCAAGAGTCTAACTACAGGTGACACTAATCACTATTATAGTAACTTAAAATGAATGTTATTTTCAACAAAAAATCTACATCAAAACCTCTGAAAGAAATTGTAGACGCCTGACAGAAATAAAGTCGCACTGAGGTGAGTTTCCCAAAACCATCGCTAGCCAACTATGGTCGCAAGTTCCGTCGTTACCAACATAGTTTAACGATTCAATTTTTCCCGAAACCACAGTTCAAACCTATATTCACAAACAGCGTCGCAAATGTACGCAGTTGGAACTACAGCTCTTGATGTGGTTAGAAGCATAGTTTCTTGTTAATAAGACATATGGACTTAAATTACATTCTTGGGCACAATATGCAAGCTAACATGCAGCTATAACTTCCATTCTATCTAAATATATATACATTTTAATCTATATATTTCTGAGCATCCTCATTAAGTGCCATTTTTAAGAGTGCGCATGTGCAT